TTCTTTGACTCTGGTAAATTTTGAGGACACAATTCTTTTAAGGGAGAGTTGCCACACCTCAATTATGAGACTAGATTTTTTAGTATATTTGGTGACTTAATTGATAAGTATTAAAGCTTGAAATTCAAATTAAAAAGGAAATTTTGGAATTTTGGCACTAGTTTGAATTCAAGGAAAAACTCTAGAGTCTATATGATAAACTCTAAAAGAGATATATGGCTTTAGATATAATTACCCCATTCTTTTTTAATGTTTCTAAATAATAAAAAGGGTGAAAATAAAATAATATGTGTTCACTATATTTGAACTTACATAAGCTTAGCTATGCCACAACCATTTAGGCTAAACTATTTTTAAGAATTATAAATTAAAAATATTATTTAAACTTACATAAACCATATTTTAAAAAGCTTCAGACCAGTTCCCCTTTTGAAATGAGTCAAACCCCAGAATCCATTTAACTTCACCATCACCCTTCACCACTGACAGTTTCTCTGGCCAGTCGTGATGTGTACCACTATCACCCCTCTGATTGGCGTTATCCCAAGACCAAAGCTCAACCTTCTCCTTGTCATGAAGCCTCGTCGTTTGTCGCGGAGGACGTCTTGAAAGCTCGTCAAAATTTAGCCCTCTCTAAGTTTTTTTTTTTTTTTTTTGTGTCAATTTTTCATCATCCAGCTACCCGTTTACATCACAGTGGATGTTATTGGGATCAACTCGTCATAACGCATCAATCGGTGGTCTTGGTGCTAGCTTCGCCATGATCGTTGAGAAGGGTGAATGGCAGGAAACTTTAATCATCCATATGGCTTATCTCCGTTGATCTTTGGTGAATAACAATGATGGTAAGTGACTTAAAATTCTTTAAGCTTCGATGCGAGAAATTTAGTGAAATTCTACTAGACAGAGTTTCTAGAAACTGGTTTGAATTGTTCTAGACCGGTTTGAGATGAGCAGAGTCGAGCTGTATGAATTAAGCTAAGCAGAGTCGCCTAAATCAAGTTGAGCCGAGCTGAGTCGAGTTGACTAAGCCGAGCCGAGCCACCATTGATGGCAGTTGAACGATGTTAATTGTTCATTGACCTTTCGGGAACACCTATCTTGATTTTTTTTCATCTTGAGTTCGTTTTGTCAAATTCGAGCTCAGTAAGCTATTTTTTAGCATTTAAGCATACAATTTAATTTGAATTTAACATTTAAGTTATGTTTCTGATGTAATTCGGCTTGCATTGTATCTTAGATGCTATGGGGTATTGAATTGAATTTCGAGAGTGATCGAATGGAGTTTAATTGGCCAATATTTGTAGCTTAGAGTCGAGGTAATACATTACTATCTTTTGCATGCTTTATGGAACACGTTGATATTGGAAACTGTATGAATGCATATGATTGGACATATGTGTATAGTTAATTATTTCTAAACTCTAACTGAATGCAATAAAAAATTAGTAAACTGAATAAGTACCGGATGACTTGTATAAGAAACTAGAAGACTGATAAAAATAATTTCAAGTTTAGCGATTAACCGGTAAAGCAATTAACCTCAACATCATTAAATTATAATTAATCTCGTTAAAAGCTTAAATCTTAGAAATATTTGAATAAGAAATTATGAAATTACTCTTGAGGTGTAAAAATGACGTGGATTGATCCTGATAGTGGAATTGACCTGAGGATTCATATTTGACCCAATAAACTTACTCATTCATCTATTAAATTCATGTTATGTTTGAAAAATTTTAGTAATCAATTTTTAAACTTTGAGCTAGCAAAATCCTTATAACTTCTTATTCCTGAACAAACACCTGAAGACGTATTTATGGAACGTGATATATATACTTGATATGAAGAAAATGATCAAAATATTTGAAATACCCTCAAGATGCAAAATGAAAAAAATATCTTGTAATTTTGAAATGACTTAAATACTCTCATGACTCGGATTATATAAATGCCTTTGGATAAATCTTAAAAATATCGATGAAACTTAAGTGTTGAATGCCCCTAAGGGTTATTGAGAACAACCCAAGTATGTTGATCATCCTTGATATAGTTACAACAATGGAAAGAAATACTGCCTGAAATACAATTATCACCTCATCGGGATACATTTAGTGATGATTTGTGAAGGTGATCTATTTAACTGATTGATGCAATAGGTACTAAGAAATGAATATCCGTGAAGTGTTTCTGTCTGAATGATCTATAGATATCGTGTTACTAAAGTTTCATTACTTTGATCAGACTTGAAAACCTGATAAATTATTAGAAATTTGGAATATTGTAAATCATCATTTTATCATCATTTGATTAAATTACCAAATTTTTCTTCGAGAATCAAAATAATTAAAATAACCCTTTAGATATTTCTAAATGATGGTACCTATTTCTGAATGTCTAATTCGATCTGTTAGACATCAAACCCCTTTTAACATGGATATCATTTCTGAAATCAATTTGATATTATCCGAAATTATATGTTCTCTTTATGATAATTACCAAGTACCTCCAAGGAATAAATTATATCTTTTAGTGTGTTTCATGTACATTTGAGTATTTTCTTTAGTTTAATACTTATATTGTTTTCTCTGATTTAAAAGTATGATATTGTTCTCTGAAAAAAAGTATGGTATCTAATTTCTATTTTTCAATGCTTGAGTATCTGACTCATTGTTTCTGACATTATTGTTTACTGTCTAAAAATTTATTTTCTATTGGGGTATTGTCTATGATGTGATATGAAGGTTTTGTGGCTACAACTTTGGTCAAACTAGTAAATTTTTATGGACTTAAGGTGACTATTGAGTAGGTTCCTACATCCAATGAGCCTAGGGTAAGATCTTATGGATCTAAGGCACCCCCTTAGGTAGGCTCATATGCTTACTATGGTAAGTACTTATGGACACAATGTGCTCCCTTATGTTGACTCCTATACTTCAACTAGGGTAAGTTTTTATGGCCTAAGGTATCATTTTAGGTAGCTTCCTATGCCTAATAGGTCTAGGGTAAGATCTTATGGATGCAATTACAGAGAATTTTATATCGGTGTTCAATTAGAAGACATCTATTTTATTTTAAAAATATATTCTATTAAAATATATTACTATTTTAAATTGTTTGTACAGTTCTTTGAGTCGATGGAACAAACTAGACTCTCTAACTCTAACTCTTGAATATGTCTCTCCGAATTTTCTAGACTGTGGGCTTTTTTACTGATAGTTGAAGAATCTCATAGTGAAATTTTGACTCAACGCTGAAACATATTGATGTCCGGATCATTATGAAAATTTCATGATTTATCATATATTTGTTTGGCGTTTAGCATCATTTGATAGTTTTGTATTACTGAGCTTTCTCAAAACTCATTATGTTACTTACCATTTTAGGTTAAATGAAATGACCCTAGACAGTTACCGACATCAGTATTGGGAGTTCCTTTGGTGTTACTTACGGAGTGCAATGTATGTATAATTAGGGGGCATGAAGGTCCCATTATGTTTTTATATTAGAGTCTAAAACTTGTTTTGATATGGTATATTATTGAATTTTGTTTTTAATGTATGAATGGTTTTTGAACTTATGTTTATTTGTAAATTATATTATGGTTTTAAATGGTTTGACAAAATTTCATTTTCCCAAGATTTTTTTTAGTGTGAGTCGTTCTGGTGGCCCTAATACGGTACCTCAGATCGGATTGGATCACCCGCATCGGTCTGAGGGTGTTACAAAAATCTTGAAATCAAAAAAAATATTCTTAAACTTAACTCAATTGAAGTTCAAACTCAAACTCGAATTTGAGCCTTAAGTACATGAAAATCTTATATTGCATTTAAAAAAACAACACATAAATGCTAATATTCTAAATAATTATTTTTAGGAAAATAAAATTTTCATATATTATTTCTTTCGAGTTTTTCGTAAACTTTTCGAGTCGAGTATCAAGTAATTCGACTCGTTAAGAAATAGAGTCGAGTCCATTCAAATCGAGTATTTATCGAGCATTGACCGATTCAAACTCAAGTAGCTTATGATGAGATGAAATAAAATGTTTAGTGTAGATTTTTCAGAACTAAGACTAATTAGAACAGATTATAAAAGTTGATGGCTAAATTTATCCTTGTGCTAATTTAATTACTTGTCATGAGTCGTAATCTTTTTAACAAACAAGGATCAACTTGTTACTCTATGTTAACTCGGGTGATTATCTTATAACGTTTTATAATTTAGAGACAACTAAAAAAGTGGTATAGTTGAGAGTGACTATATGGGTAATTTTTCCTATTTTAATTTCAGAAAGGAATGCTGAAATTAAACCCTCGCAATAAAAACCGTTATGATATTTTTGGTGTCTTGAAATCTAGTAAAACTGTTGAGATATTTTAGTATCTTCAAATCTAGTAAATATTCATATCTATACATAATAATTAATATAAAAGTGAGACCAAACGAGTAATTGGGATATAATGAGATAATAAAAATGAAAGAAATGGAAGTGAGTGTAATTGACATAATAAAGCTAAAAGAAAGCATGCTTATATGGTGCAACCAAACATTGGATGGGGTGGAAATAATTGTCCTTGTTTGCTCTTGTTATTTCTTCTTCTTTTTTTAATATGAAAAAATTGTTGTTGTTGACTTGCATATGGTGAAGTGCGTTGGCAAAGCGTGAGAAAGAGAGTGGGAAACGGACTTTACGTTAACAACCTTCCCAACTGCTTTACTCTCCCTCTCTTATAATTTTTCCCTTTTTCCGTTACAATTTTGGTCCGTTTTTCGACTTGTTTCTTTCACCCATTTCCCCTTTGTCTTCTCCAATTCAACCTTGTATATATAATTTTATACTTTGATTGACTATCCAATACAAAAAAAAAAGAAAAAGAAGAAGGTTTTTTTAGCTTAACAACATCTTCTCTACTCCTTTGTATCATTTCATTAAGCTATATATTCATATTAAACTCTTTGTATTTCAATTTCTTTCTTATTGGTGCTGGGAAAAGGATATGGAGTTTCGGACGGATATTGCAATGAAGTCTAAAGATCATATGGACATCGTAAAAGGGAAACGAACGAAGCGTTCGAGGCCTTTGTCGCCGATCCCTTTCGTCGTAGGATGCAACAATTCTATTTACGATGAAGATAATGGCGGTGGACCTGAAGGGAGTCCAGATGTAGAGATGAAGAATTATAGTCAGTATTTATCACCTTCTTCGTCTTCTTCCGAATATCAAGACATCGCGACCGAGGAAGAAGAAGATATGGCCAACTGTTTGATTCTCCTGGCGCGAGGCCGATCCAGAGAAACCGAGAAATTAAGGGTCGAAGATCGTCCCGATGACAAATTCACTAGTAGGAAGTTGTTGGAGACTGGTTTAAATGGGACAGGCAAGGCCGAGTACATTGTTTACGAGTGCAAGACATGTAATAGAACATTTCCTTCGTTCCAAGCTCTTGGTGGTCATAGGGCTAGCCATACGAAGCCCAAGGCAGGCGTGCCCATGGTTGATGACAAAAAAACAAGGCTATTCAAATCAGCATATGAAGAATTAGGAGGTCCTAATAATAAGGTTAAGGTTCATGAATGTTCCATTTGTGGGGCTGAGTTTACCTCTGGGCAAGCCTTGGGAGGGCATATGAGAAGGCATAGAGGGTCAATAGGTAGTAGTAATGTTAATATTATTACACCCAACAAACCCTTGTCTTTAACAATGGAATCTGAGAAACCTAAGAAACCAAGAAATGTTTTGTCTTTAGGCTTGGATCTCAATCTTCCGGCACCGGAAGACGATGACCGGGAATCCGAATTCGCCTTCGGGTCTAAGCAACAACAACAATCCGCTCTTGTCTTCTCAGCCCCCACTTTGGTGGATTGTTTTTACTAAGCAAGGTTTAAAGTTTTTCTCTCCTTTTCTATTTCTAGTTACACCAACATTTATTTATAAAATTGACCCAAAGCTGAATTGCTATTTATTTGTTGCTCTCATATTTATTCAACATTTATGAGATGTTTTTCACTCTTTATCCCCCATTGATCAAATGTTAATCACATGAAACTCGTATTCTTTGATGGAAAGCAGAGAATAATACTGTGTGTTATATTGAAAGATACCTGAATATTTCATGTGGATTTTCATGATAGCCATTTTTTTTTCTTATTTTATATGTTTAGATCACCCATTCATCTTTAAAAATAGGGCACACTACCTATTTGGTCACTTACCTATTATATATTTTCTGTTTTGATCACCCAACTATTATTTTTTTAAAACTCATACCTAACATTACATTTTAATTACCCATCGTTAAAAACTTAGCAGTGATGTTGATATGTCACCATAAGATAATGTCATGTTAGCATTGAAAATTAATTTAAAAAATATCATGTCAGTATCATTTTTAATTTTTTAATGATAAGTCATAACTAAAATATAATGTTAGATATAATTTTAAAAAGTAATAATTGAGTGACTAAAACGAAAACTAAGTAATAAATAAGTGATTAAATGCATAGTTTACCCTTATAAATAACATATAAAAAAATATAAATATAATATTAAACTCCACCTTATAATTACCTCATATTATTCCAAAAAGAAAAAATTAAGCTCCTACAAGACGTTCCTTTTCTTTGTTTCTTCCACCTCACTTAGTTACTTAGTATACTAGAACTACAATAGATCACCATCAGGGAAGTCTTCCACTACTTCGTAACACACAAATCTTATAACGCATCACTCAGTTTTGGGTTGTTTGATTAAATACTTTTGCAGCCACTACAATTTTCAGTTACTTAGTATACTAAAATCACAATGGATCAAAAAAGCTTTTATTGTTAATATGATATTTTTATATATGTTTAATTGATGACGTATCATGTATTACATTATTAAATAATAATGTGATATTTGTTTCGTTACAAAAAATATGATATGTGACACATCACTCAACATGATGATATAATAATATATGATAAATCATCATAGTGTTAATGTGACATATGTTACATCACTTAAAATAATAATATGACACGTGTCACATTATTAAAGTGATAATATAACACATATTACGTCATCAATTAAATATATGTGAAAATGTTATGTCAATTATATGATTTTATTATTGGTCACCTAACAATTTTCATCAACAAAAGTTATTTTGATCAAAAAATTAAAATATTAAGTTAAAATATTTAAAAAATACGAGACAAAATGATCATTTATACAAACGTTTTAACATTAATAATTAGTGATTTTGTATAAATTAGATTTTGGGTCAAGTGCAAGTTCTTGATTATTTTTTTATATTTTAAAATTTTAATACAACAACAACAAAACCCTATTCCCATATGCAATTGGGTAAGGGGGAGGCATGGCAGTAGGCTGCCCCCAACGCCATGATTGAGAGCAGCTTTCGTGAAAGACCTCCGGCAGTCAGAAAATTAAAAATAAAGATAAAATGCAATGCATGTATAAATAAATAAATACATAGTTGAACAATCTTCATATGCAGTCTTCATATACACGTATGTAATGGGAATTAATCCCTGCTAATAATTCCCTGCTTAAAAATCTCTGCATATAGACAGAAACATAAGACTCGACTAAATTTAGAAAGAGAAAACCTGAAGAGAAGGATACACAATAATCAATGATAGCAAGCTATAAGAAGGAATAAAGTCAAATTGGTGAAAACCTAAACTAAGGCAACACTACTCCGCTACCCTAGTTCTAAGCCTTCATAAATTCTAATGACAGAAACGTATATAATGTAGAAGTCATGGAAATTATTACAAAGGCATTAAAAAGAAGACAAATATGTTACACCCTATGATTGTGACCCGCACTACTCGGCTACCCTGGTCTTAAGTCTCCATACTTTCCTATCAGAGGTCATGTCCTCGGTAATGGCTAAATCTTTCAAATAAGATCTCAAACAGTCTTCCCACTTCCACCTTGGTTGACCTCTCCTCCTGGCACCATCGACTGTAATCGACTCTACCCTCTTGACTGCATCCGACGATTGTCACCTAAAGACATGTCCAAACCACCGTAGTCTTCCCTCCCTCAATTTTTCGGATACAGGAACCACCCCCAAGGACATCCTAATAGCAGAGTTTGGTGTCATGTACCATAGAGTCCTACCACATGTCCATTGGAGCATTCTCATTTCTGCGGCCTCCATCCTCCTTACGTGATCCTTCTTGATTGCCCAACATTCTGATCCATACAGCAGCGTTGGTCTTATTGCCATTCTATAAAATTTTCCCTTAAGTTTTAGAGACACATTCTTGTCACATAAAACTCTAGTAGCAGTCCTCCACTTTAGTCATCCCGACTTTATATGATGTGTAATGTCATCATCTACACCCCCATCTTTATGTATCATAGACCTTAGGTACTTGAAACATTCCTTTGAGGGGATAACGTGACCTTTTATGCATACTTCTACATCTTCATCATTTTGGTTCCCACTGAAGTTTGAACATAAATTCTCTGTCTTTTCAATATTGATCCTTAGACCTTTTTCTTCCAAAGCAGTCTTCCATGTAGCCAGTCTACTATTCATCTCAGTTTTTGTTTCAGCAACTAGGACAATGTCGTCAACGAAAACCATACACCATGGAACACCGTCTGGTGTCGCACAATAGATGTCGTCCATAATCAAGGCAAAGATGTAAGGGCTAATAGCTGACTCCTGGTGGAGTCCGATTTCCACCTGGAATGCCTCGGTATCGCCAACTGTAGTCCTGGCGTAAGTAGTAGATCTACAGTACATATCACGAATCGCCCGAATATAAGCAGTTGGGATCCGTCTCATTTCCAAGGTCTTCCAGATCGTATCACGGGGAACGCTATCATACGCCTTCTCAAGGTCAATGAACGCCATGTGAAGATCTCTATTTTTTCCCTATATTTCTCCCTAAGCCGTCGAAGTAGATGAATCACCTCCGTAGTAGACCTTCCTGGCATAAAGCCAAATTGGTTTTTCGAAACCCTAGTCACATGTCTCAACCTAGCCTCTATCACCCTTTCCATAGCTTCATGGTATGGCTGAGTAGTTTAATACCTCTGTAGTTGCCACAACGTTGGGGATCTCCTTTATTCTTATAGATTTGTATCACCGTAGACTCTCTCCACTCCTCTGGCATCTTGGCAGTCTCTAAAATAATATTAAAGATATTAGTCAACCACTTAACTCCCTCTTCTCCTAGGGAAAACCACACAGTGATAGGAATTTGATCTGGACTGACAGCTTTGTCCCTCCCCATCTTTCTAAGAATCATTTTGACTTCCTCAAACTCAATAGTCATTGGCCATAATATAATGGTCGGTTGACCCATCAACGATACTATCTGTACAGGGAGAGGCACCTTCATTAAATAAGCCAAAGAAGTAACTACCCCAAACCCTCTTAATATCACGATCTTTCACTAAAAGAACACCATTGTTGTCCTTAATAAACCTAATGCTACCTATATCATTTTTCCTATTTTCCCTGGATTTTGCAAGCCTGAAGATGTCGTTTTGTCCTTCCTTGGTGTCTAATCTCTTGTACATTTCCTCGTATGCCTTATCATTTGCTTTAGCCACTGTTTTCTTGGCTTCCCGCTTTGCTTCCTTGTATCTTTGTTTAGCTCTAGATCTTTCTTCATCATCATTGCATTGTAGAAACTCCTTGAAGCAAGTTTGCTTTGTCTTCACCTTAGTTTGGACTTCGTCATTCCACCACCACGATTCTTTATGTTCCTTGTCCTTCCCTGTCGACAACCCAATGGTGTTTTTGCCCACCTCTTTGATGGAATTTGCCATATTTTTTTATAACACTAGCCAAGTTATTTTTCTTAAAGATTAAATAAATTTTCAAATTACACTAGCCAAGTTACTTTAGTGGTTAAAGGGATAGTTGTTATCCTTAGAAATCCTAGATTTGAGCACCAACGATTACAGAGTATTTAAGCTTTCATTGTCAAATTGTTAATAATCTCTATAACATATACTATTATTTATAATCAATTTAAATTAAAAAAATAAATCCTCAAATTACCAATTAAAGTCAATTGTGCCCTTAAACTCCGTCAAAAAGTAAATTATATCCTCAAAATCGGCTAAAAAATAAATTCAATCATTCTATAATATCATAATTCACATAGACACTATAACAATCCATTAAAGAATTAAATTGATGTAATCAAATAATTTTAAAAATTAAATTTATACAGTTAAAAAATAACATCATTGGTTTGAGTTTACATCATAAAAAGTAACCCTTAAATTATATTTATTTAATATAACAAATTTAAAAAGATTTCATCTTTTAGTTTGAATGATAGATTAAAGAATAAATTAGGATCAACAATCAGTTGGTATCAATTAGTCTAGTGGGATGAGGCAGTAGATCCTTTAAGTAAGATTAGGAGTTTAAATCATGATGATTGTGAATGGAGCAAATTGAGTTAGGAAGATTGTCCTTGCCTTTACAGTATCTGATTCGAATTAATCGATCATTATATCATATATCAATGATTATACCTAAACACAGATAATTACAAATTTAGTATTTAAATTATTAATTTTGGTGGAGGTTTAATAGTTTCTAGAGATTCTGTACAGAGTTATAACATTAATGTATAATTATCGGATATTAGGTTCAAATCCTACTGCAAGCAATACATTAATTTTTATAATTATTTTTAATATATCTTCTATGATTATTATAGTGTTGTATTTGTTCATTGAATATTATTTTTAATTTTTTTGGGACAGATAGTTCTTATTCTTCAAATTTAATCTAATTAAGATTTGATTTATTACAACTTATTTTTTTATCTAAAATATGAATATATATTATTTTATTATAAAATATAACTATATTTTTATGTAATCTTATTAAGTCTACTTGATTAAAAACTATATTCTC